CATCGAGGACTCGTGACTGTGAAACCCCAGCTCCAGATGCTCTCTTGGAGCATGAAGCATACATTCACATAGACACAAACACTCATACACATAAATAAAAGTAAGCTGTAAAATACAGAAGAATTCTGATCAAAATAGAAAACAAGAAGCAGATAAAAGTGTATGTCAGGATGTGGTAGAGGATATAATATGCATACGATAGAGGAAGCATTTCAAGGCAAAGACAAGACAGCGGTTTGTTCAATAGAAATGAGCACGTCAGTGTTTTATTGGTTAAGTATTACTGGAATAATCAGTAAACCAACTGGTTAAAAAAATGAGTTCACCTTTACTTGTGGCCTGTACATAAGAGGTGAAACAAAGAGACACAAGTTTGAGTCAAGGGTTAGATAATCTGGGATTCTGAAAAGGATATTCTACAAGATCCCAAGTGTTCAAATCAGTGAGAAAAGGGCAGACACATTTAGATAAATGAAAAGTGCTTGGTCACCTCGTCTCTAGACATTATAAAACTTGGAAAAGGCAAGAAGAAGAAGCTTCTTGTATCTTATTGAGAGCTCTTAAAAATTAATAAGGAATAAATAACCCAAAACAAAAATGGCCAATTCACAAAGGAAGGAAGGCAAAGAAAAAAACATATACTATCATAACAAATGAAACAGAACAGAACAGCAATTCATTAAATTATTATTTATAAACATAAGGGGCATAAATATTTTCTTTGTGAAGTAGAAAAGCACCAAGTACTGTGAAGTGTTTACCTCTGGATATAATTCAGGTAAGTTTCCCCCAAAACCTTGTGTTGAAGATTTAGTCACCAGCCTGTGCTGCTATTGTATAGAAGTAGAACCTTTAGACAATGGGGTAGAAGCCACATACCTAACACTCCATATACTGCCTCCCTATAGCCATAGCCCATACTGAACACCTACTACTACCCAAACCCCATGTATACCAACTGCCCATATCCATCACACAGTACTTACCCAAAACCAAACACCACCATCTACCCACACCTCATATGCGTCACCTACCCATAACCAACACATACCACTTAGCCTACCAACATATACCACCTACCCATATCCCATACCCACACTACCTATCCATACCCCACATCACTACTTACACACACAATTCACACATACTACTACTTCTACCCCAAACATACTACCTATCCAAATACAACATATATCCTATCCACATCCTACTCATGCAACCTTCCCATATCCTGTACCCTATACCTCTCCCTACCCTCAACCTTCACTCCACACTCACTACCTACCAACAATCCATACACCTTCTACCCATGTCCTTCATACCCACTGCCTACCCATACCCTACACATTACCTACTCATATTCTACACCCACAATCTCCACACACAGTATACCCTTCCACCCCTACTACCTATCCACAACCTACATACACATAGTCAAAGGAATTCAATTTCTACAGTTCTGATGAATCCTCCAACAACATGCCCCTCATTTCTGATGGTGGTCTCTCATGCTACTGGTCACATGAGCTGGCATTTGAAGGTTTTCCAGTCCCTCTGAGTTTGTTGACCTTTAGTGTTGGCTTCTTTTCTTGGTTACTTGTTTTAGGCTTCCTCAGGTACCCAGAAAGCTATATGGTTATCATCTTGATCAAAATGGTTCTCTTTTGAAGTCTGAGAGTCATCCCAGATGCTGCATGGTGGCCATCAGACCACAGTGATCACTGTGGGTTAAAATGACCAAACACAAAGTAAAAGTCAGGGAGTAAGTGCACAGAGAATGGGCATTACCAAGGAAGACTCTCAGGTCAGGGGCCAGTGGATCACTCATAGGCAAGCCCTGCCAGGCAATAGAAAAGTCTGCTATGGCAGCTCTCATTAGCAGAAGGCATGGAAAATACTCAGGGCACCAGAAAAACCACACAGAGGTCATGTTCAATACATCATGCTGGAAAAATGGTATCAAACCACACACACACACAACACACACACACACATGCACACACACACACCCCACAGTCCATTCTGAAGGCCATTCTCTAACTTAAATAAAGAATAAAAAGTAATCAGCCTTCCATAGCTATACGACATGACCCCTTCATCCTGTGAATACATCCCACTCCCACAGCACTTAACAAGAAAGGATTTCACAGGAGCCAGGGTCGGAGTATAAATACCACATTGAGGCATGTCCTTGTCGCTGGGTTAAGAAGGACTCAGTGCAGGTGAGAGGTACATGACACGCTGACAGCACTGAACTAAAGACCACAACACTTCCTTGGGAAAGCAAAAGCTCAAAGAAGGTGGTGTGCCACATTCCTGAGAGAAAGAAGCATTCCAGTGACTCACTGTGCTCTGGGGAGACCTTCAGTGCTCCAAAGGGAGCCAGACACCATGCTGAGAATGAACAGGCTTCCGCAGCCCTCCCCCAGTTTTTAATCAGTTTCATTCACTTAAATTTTATGTAAGCTTAACATAAATGTTTCTATTCTAAGAAAGGGGAAAAACACATGATTCAATAATCTGATGCTCTCTCTATATGCATATATATTATATATGTACATATATACATACCTATATTTCCAAAAACCATGCAAAAAGTTAAGCATTAGCCAAGATCACACAATGAGTTAAAAGCATGCAGCTGCCTCTGCCTGCCTTATGCTCAATATCCCTCTTTTTTTTCTTTTCCTTTTAATTTACACTGAGCCTGCAGGGTAAGCTCCAAAAACAAACATTTGAATGTCAGCGGGAAAAGCTAATCACTGAGCATTAGCACCATATCCACAGAGGAATCTGGAACCTTTTCTCAGCTAGACTGAGGACAAGCACTGCCACTTGGTTGGTGCAGCAAGCAGGCCTTCGACTTGCTGCTCCTGGCCTTCACACCCCACCTCCTCAGTTAAGGCCATGGCCACAGCCCTGCTTTTTGTTGTCTAAGGTTTCCAAAGAGCTTGTTTGAGGAAACAGCAGAGAATCCCACACTCATTCAGTGTGCTACGGACAGAGACAGAACAGAAAACTTGCCAAAAGCACGATTATTTCAAAGGTAACGTTAGAATGTTTAGGTGCTAGAAAGACACGCTAATTTTGCCTCCAGTATTGGCCAAGGAAATGATGACATTATATATCTAAAATTCCAAATGAATGCAACACTGACAATGAAATCTTTGTCTCTCTTCCAACTATTAAGTGCTATGCAACACTTTCACACACCAAATTAATCAGAAATGCAAATGAACTGTTTGATCTGCTCTTTCCCTGGTAACTGACATTTATTTTTACATAGTTGCAGAGCTATGCAAATCTCCCCAAATACACATATCTATACAAATCACTATCCCACACAATAAAAGCCAGACTTTCCTAACCAGACATTTAAGGTTTTCCCTGCAGGCTCCACTACCTAAGAAAAATCTCTAAATTGACTGTTTTTGCAGATGTGCCAGCCTTTTCCCATTCTACCCTTACCCTCTGACACACAAAAAGAAAACCTATTCAAAGGGGGTTACAAGGCCGGCCAGCCACCCAACTCTCTCCCAGGACTCTGCTTGGAACATTCCCTGAAATGGCCCCCTCCCCAGGCTGTAGAGGAGCTGCTTTCTTGGAGCTCATTTCAGAAGGCTCCTATACCCAGAGCAAGTGGCTAGCTTCTACCTGCAGGGAGACTTCATCAGGAAACAAGGTAATGGAAGCTTGTTTGCAGGGAGATTGGGGCGGGGGTGGGGGGGGTTGGTGGGGGGGGTGGGGGGGTGGAACCTTCAAGTGCACTGCCCCTCAACTACTCCTGGAAATACTTCATGCCATGCTGCATAGCATCACAGTAAAGCCCAACAGTCAAACCCCCAATCATAGTCACAGGGGCAGCTGCCACCATGGTCCTACCAGCTCCCAATTAAATCACCCCATCCGTAAAAGAAAACGTAAGTTCTATAAAACAGACCTGTGTCCTTTATAGTACAGGCATCTCTCCTCCTTTTGGTCTTGGCAAACGTTACTTAATTCTCACCGAAAAGACTATCCGACAACAACCACCTCCCCCAACTGTGTGTACAACCGTATAATCTTTGAAGATAACCGCTACTTCACAAACAATGCTGTCTTGAATGCTGTTAGAGCAAGCTATTCAAACGCCCCCCCCCCCTCCGGAAGCTCCCTGCACTCCTGCAGAGAGGACCAATGATTACTTTGCTGGTTTGGTGGCTCCAGAGAGTACTGGACTTGGCAAGGATGGCTGCAGAGCAGGTGGGAATGGCTGCAGAGCGGTGAGCTAGCGTGTGAATGAACTGGAGCCCCGCTGTCTGGTAGGCCTGGCTTTGGTGTTTTCTTGGCAGGTGAAGTTGAACATCTCCGAGAGGAAAGACGCCCTTTTCCGTATCAACGTGACTGGAAATCTCAATTTAAGAATGGGATTCACTGGTCGGTTCCTCTAGGGTTTTTCCAGTTCTCCACCTTAGTTTCTGCCTCTGATATTCGGGTTTTTCACACTGTCAGATCACCTACTTAACCCCCACAACACCGTTGTATGAAAGGAATTCTCAACCAGGAAAAACTTGCCCAGAACTACATGGTCTTTGGACTTGTCTCTCTTTCTTCATCTCTTTTCCCTCCAACAGATATGGTCAAGCCTAGCACCTGACACAGGCGCGCACACATATGCATACCGCACACTCACGCGCACACATGCACACCACTCAGGAACACATACACACCACATGCGCGCGCACACGCACACCCCTTTCCCACTACAGTACCTAGCTCAGCGAAAAGGGTTCCCGTTCCCAGGCGACCCGCAGTTGGGAATTCAGTGGAGCCTAGGAGGAGCGCCAGTCGCCCAGGACTTTACACAGTGCTACTGTGAATCTAGCAGCCGGTCCATAGCGATCACACCTCGTACACACACACACACACACACACACACACACACACACACACACACACACGCTTGTACACGCGTGCGCTCGGGTCCCAGCCAGTCTCCTGCTGCCGCTCACCGAAGTTACCTTTGAGGCTGCTCCGGCTCTGGGCTCTTTCCCCACTTCTCGCGTGGCTCTAGGATGGTGGTCCACACAGCCTCCAACGGGTGCTTCCCGAAGGTTCCCTAGCCAAAAGAGTCCTAGGTTCCAGAGCAGCCCAAGCTCTACACTTGGGGCGACACCCCTGGCACAGGGTGACTTCAGTCCCTACAGCTCGGGGTAGGGATCTGAAACCCAGGCTAGGGTCGCGCCCTGACTCCCCTAGGGAGCCGGCAGCCAGTACCCACATGCATGATGCTGAGGATCTCAGTGGCCTGGGGATGTGGCCTCGGCGTCAGGATTCTCCCCAACCTCGGTTTCTGAGGCTCGGCCAGTGTCACCACGTCACGGGCTTGGATACCGTGGGCAGCTCGGGCCAGGAACCCGATGGACAGAGACCCAGTTTGGCTTCTCCATCATCTCTGGGAAGGTGAGGCAGGCAGGACTCTCCAGCAGCGGGTGCGCGCTCCCTAGGGCAGGAGGGGCGTACCCGGGAGGGGCGCGGCAATAGCGCCGAGGGCGTGCCCCGCCAGAGGCTGCAGCCGCCTGAAGAGTGGGTGCCCGCACCCCCAGAGCCCTGAGGAGGCCCCTGTTCCGGTCGGGGTTGTGCCTGCTGCACCGGGGCAAAAGCAAGCAGAAACTGGAGCAGGAGGAAGCCTAGCGGCCAGATCCACCCTGGGGGTTTGTTTCTCCCTAGTTCCCGATGCTGAAGGTGACTGCGGCCCCCAGTGGCGAAGCAGAAGCTAAGGATGTCCGCTGCTCTCCTTTTTTCGCCGGTGCACTCTGCTCGCCCTTCCAGGGTCTCAGACTCCGCAGTGCTTCGCGAGGCCAGGCAAAGTGGCCGCTTCGCTCATTGATTTTTCCCTCTTGGCCGGTGTCTGCTTCATTGGTATCCAGATTGGAGAGACTGGCGACCACGTGACCCGCCCTCCCCAAACACGCACGTACACACACAACCGAATAGATTTTCAAAAGTCCAATTGGATGCATCTATATCGATCAGGACTGGAGGCCTTTCCCAAGTCGCCCTGTAAGCTGCAGTGGGACTGAAACGCAGCGGCCTGCCTTTGGTGCCACCATGCATAACACAGATCATCTCCCTCGGCTCCGGAAGTCACACCAACAGCACTTTACAGCACAAAAACCGAGTCATAGTTTCAAACTCATGGAATCTAAAGTAAAGAGAAACCCTACCGATTGGGGAACATATAGCTAAGGGATAGCGCCCTCTCCCTGGGTCACGGTAGGTGGCTTTTCCAAGAGTGCGGCCAAATGAAGGCTCCGGCTGGCTTAGGGACCAGTGGTCTGTATTCTGGCCTTGGGAGGCGGTGGAGGCTGGAGGGATACAAGTCTCCACAGCAGCTTCCTTGCATGAGTTTCCTGCTATGACTGGAAGCAACTGCATTCTAAAAGTGAACCTGCTAATACATGGATACTTTAAACAAAGCCTCATGTGGTAATGAGTTGCCATCTAGATTTTCCCAGAATTCTGCCCTAATTACTTTAGGGCAAGGCAAGACCAAACCCATCTAGGGAGGACAAAAGCACCTAAATGGGCAAAATAAAGGTGAAGCGTATTTGATCCACTGTACCTTGCTCCCCTAGGGAGTCTAAATTTGTAACAATAGCGTCTTGGTCCAAACATTGTGAGGGACTAGTCAGCTTTACATCAATATAACAAAGATCCGTTCATAGAGAGAAGGCCAAGGGCCGAGGCAAACAAACCCCAAGGTAATAGGTGACCATGCTGAGCGAGGCGTCCATTTGGATTGAAAGAGCTTTGACTGCAGGAGCAGCCTTGTTCCCCTCCTGCTCAGAGAGTAAATTGTTTAAGATCTAAACAAACAGATATTTCTCCCAAAGCCAAGACTGGTAAAAAGCCAAGGAAGTAAAGCAATTGGGATGGGAAGTTGGATAGCATCTGCCTGCTTCTTGGACCTTCACTTTTTAAATGGTTTGCCCCTCCCATTCCTTCCTAAAACACCACCTCATAGACCAAACTCCAGAAGGAAAACACCCTAAAGCTTAGAATGGGTAAAGTTTTCTCACTTGATTCAAGTGAGGGAGACCATTGGGGAGGTGTGGTTGTTTTATTTCATCTTGTTTCCCTGTAAAACCTTTTGTAAAAGTTGAAACAGTGATGGCAAACTTGTATGCCATCCTAGAGCCTTCATCCAGTAGCTGAAGGAAGAAGGGGCAGACACCCACAGCTAACCACTGAGCTGAACTCCTGGAACCCAGTTGCAAAGACAGAGGAGTGATGAGCAAAGTGGTCAAGACCTGGTGCGTGAAACCCACAGAGACAGCTGACCTGAGCAATGGGAAGCCCATGGACCCCAGGCTGATGGCTGAGAGGCCAGCATGAGACTGATCCAGACATCCCTGGACGGGGTGTCAGTAAGGAGGCCTTGGCATTCTTTGCGGCCTCAGGTACTAGATTAGTATTTATCCCTGGTATCCAAATGGACTTTGAGAACCCATTCCACATGGAGGGATGCTCTCTCAGCCTGGACACATGGAGGAGGGCCTAGGCCCTGCCTGGGATTATAGGACAGACCTTGGAGATCCCCCATGAAGGGCCTCACCTTCCCAGGAGAGTGGAGTGGGGATTGGGTCAGGGGTTAGGGGGTTGGGGATTGTAGGAGGAGGAGAGGGAGAGGGAACTGGGATTGACATGTGAAGCAAGCTTATTTCTAATTTAAATAAAAATTATATAAAAAAGAACCTATTCAATACATGTCTCCAACCCTAAACTTCCTCAACTCTAGCCAGATTCTGTAGATCTACTCTGGAAGCGACCTCAGGGAATTTCTGGAAATTTCCCCTGGGAAATTCTGCTCCTGTTCTGTTTGGCACTGTACTTCTCCCCAAGACAGACAGAGTATATCGTTAGAATAACTGCCCTTAAAAGAGATCTATGAGTTAAGCACTTTGTACCCAAGCAGGGCCTATGCAGTGGAAGGTGGTTGAGTCTTTAGGAGGAAGGGCCTGATAGGAGGTCCTTGGGTCACTGGAACCATGCCCTTGAAAGAGCTCATAGGATTCTGACCTCTTCTCTCTTGTGCTTTTTGGTGTTGAATCGAGCAGTCCTTAAGATGCACCCCACCACCATTGATACCCAGAGACCAGAGCAATAGGTTTTCCTGAGATTAGACTTAAGCAACCAGAACTAAAACAAACTTTTTCTGTTATAAGTTAATTATCACCATGTTCTGTGTGGTGGCAGGAAACTGGCTAAGGTACACAGGTAGTGGAACACTGAAGCCAGAAATGCTCACCAAGGAATCTCTCCTTAGAAACAACCTGGGATTTTACCTACCTTCCTGCACAAGCTGGACATTCTCATGCACACATCTTTCACATCTTTGTACCTGTCTGAGGAGAAGTGAAGGTTATTTCTCTGCACCATTCAACTTACTGTACCCAGATCATAACAAATAATTCATAAATGCTTTCCTTGGACTTAACATTTGAATTGAGAAATGTGTATGTCCTATCATATAGAACCTGGGGTTGTGTATAAAAGTGATAAATCTATGGAGTCCATGAAATGTAATCATAAGTGTCCGAAGTAGTGAAACACACACAAAAGTTATGCATCAATAATCACATTGTAACGAGGAAATAATGTTATCTGAAAAAGGAGTCTAATATATTTATTGAATCTAGAATTTACTTACAGGGGGATAGGAGTTCTAGGAACATGGATAGCTTCCAAGAGAGAGTAAGTTTTTTCTTTTCCTTTCCTTTTAAATCCTCACCTGTCCCAAGTACCCCTGTCCATGCCCCAAGGGGTGTGGACAGTATTGTGGGCTCACCCCTACAACATTGTTAATTTGCATTTCTCAGAGGCTAACATCTTCCCCCATCTCTAGTTCCTTCTCACTTCAGTTCTTTCAAAATCTTTTTCTCTGCTATGAATTCTAAATGTGTAACTGTATCTTTCTTCATATTTCCTTTCCTGTCCCAGCTCTACTTTCTTTCATTAATTATGTACATACTTGTTCTCTTTACTTCAGAGGAAAGATGGGGACAGAGAGAAATGAACAAAATCAGAATTCTCCTTAGGGACAGGCAAAGGCTATCTTATTTCACACATTTTTGTCCATCATAATGAAATCTCCTTTGGGTGTGCTATACATATATTCAATAGTAGGAAGGACACAGACTGTAGCATCATTAAACAGAGATGTTATCTCTTCTTATAGGATAACTTTATAAACACTTCAGACTATTTCTCACTCAATCTCTCCCAAGCTTTAGTTTCTGCAACTATAGAATTGAAACTGGAAGTCTCTGGATTGCTAAGAAGACTGAGTAAATGCATGTGTAAGCTTCATCGTAGACAGCCAGTCAATGTGTGTGGCAAGAGAGCAGAAGGAAGAGAGAGGAGAGGAGAGGGAGGAAAACTGGAGGGAAAGAAAGGAAAAAGAGGAAGGGAAAGAGGGGGGGGGAGAGAAAGGAGAAGGGAGAAAAGAAAGCCCTTGTATCTTGGAGATCTAGGCAAAAGCTTGACTGTACCAATGAACAAGGGAAACCTTTCCCTCCTCTGGGATGAAAGAATAAAGTGTAACTTCCTCTTGCCTCTTGAGAGCTATTGCCTCACTGGCTAAAAAGGTCAGGTAGTACAATCCTAAGAAGGGTTTGGTGCAAAGGTCAGTGATCAACAGCATCCTCTGTTGCTCTCCTGAACAGCCCAAGAATCCTGAGTCCTCGCAGCTCATGTGGGCTCCAGGATTGTCACCTGTCAGTACATTGTTATCTGGAGCTTGCTAGGTCTCATCTCAGTAAATCTCACTAGTCCTGGATTATGTCTAAGGACTTAAAAGGATTATATATTAAGCAGAAAGACATCTCGGAGATTAAGATGCTGGTTTCAGATAACAGAAAAGTCCTTCTAGCCTCTAGCTTAACCTCCAGCTGAAAGTGTTTTGCTATAATACCTGTTCCCGAGGACCTTCATCACTGTCAGTAATACACAGCAACGGGGCTTATGATACAGAAGTCTTGGATTCAGTGAACAGAGTGGCTTCCCAGCCCTGGATTCTTGGCTGTTAGCCCAATAGATAGAGACTGGTATTAGCAGATTGCTAATCATGCGAATGAAGCCCAGAAGGAACTATTAACTTCTGGACCAGACTCTGCAGATCTGAAAATAGAACAGAGTTCTCTCCAGTGCAGCACAGGGTTCACTGTGGACTCCTCCCTGAATTTCCTCAACTGTGTTCAGGTACACACCCCGGGCACCTCCACACTGTTCAGGAGTTTCTCCAAGTCCAGATGGAGATGAGTGGTGTGTTTGCAAGGTCAGAGGATATTTGCTATTATTAATATTATTACCGTGGCTATTTGAGACTGTCCACATTTGTTGTTATCTTATTTTGGAGGAAGCTGACACTGCGAAGTGTTGATGTTTGCACTTCTGAACCTTGGCAGCAAAAGTGCAGGCAGGTGGCCTTGGCTGGTCATTCCCACTCTCTTGCTTAAGGTTGTGAATTTGAAGCCAACAACAAGGTCTAAGTTTAGACATTGTTCCACACCCTTGCAGTTTCTATGATGCAGTGGCCTGGAGAGTTGTGAAAGTGACAGGGTCTTCACAGTCCCTTTTTGCGGCATGTCATTGCATGGGATTTCAGCCACCTTTCCCCTTCTTCCAGGTTCCTCAGTCTCTGTGCATTTTTTAAACTGTTTCTCCAGGCTGATTACTGAGTTTTTGACTTCTG